TTAAAACAATTTAAAAACAACAATATCAGAGATCAAAGCTTAATAGTAACTCTCAAGCAACCAGAAACTGCATTTATCCAGTACATATCAGTCCTCCTTTCTGATTAGCTGAGGCTGGGTCTACGTTGCCATACAATCTTGTTTCTGAATCCAGATTATCTGCTTTGAACTGGATTATATGAGTCTATATTGTCATATGGAGCCCCTGGTGGTGCAACAGGCTAAACCACTGAGCTCCTGAACTTGCTGACCGAAAGGGTGAGCTCCTACTGTTAGCCCCAGCTTCTGCCAACTTAGCAGTTTGAAAACATGCAAATTTATTTATTTCCTATATTTGTATACAGCCCTTCTGAGCCCTTAGGCAACTCAAATCTGAGTAGATCAATAGGTACTGCTTCGGTGGGAAGGTAACAACGCTCCATGCAGTCATGCTGGCCATATGACCTTGAAGGCGTCTATGGACAACGCTGGCTCTTTGGTTCAGAAATGGGGATGAGCACCATTCTCCAGAGTTGGACACGACGAGACTTAATGTCAAGGGGAAACTTTTACTTTTACACCGCCATATAAGGATTCAGATACTGGGTTCTAAGGCAATGCAGATGGGACCTGAGATTTAGGAGAATTTTTGTCGCATTAATATTGCAGGTCGCTCACTCACTTGGCTTCCTGAAGTCTGCAGGCTTGCATTTTGTTTCAAGTCTTGTTTTGTATTATAGATCTATCTGACAATAAACTTGTTTTTCCGTTCTGACAGACAAAGAGGTCTGACTCACTCGACAAGCCCGTATGCTCCCCAAATTTTAAGGGCACTAAAAATAAATGTACGTTTTGTATCTTGCCGAAGGAACACAGCAGCGTGATCTTTCTCCCTCTTGTTACTCCCACATGTTGTGCTCTAATGTGAGATTGTCCTTCGCCTCACCAGTTGCCTTTTCTCTCTCTTAATCTTGTTTGTAATTTTCTGTTTGGAAGTGCTTTTCAGAATTTGGGAGGTCAAGGCCCCGCAGTTTGCTTTCTTTTTTGATAAAAATACAAGTGGGAACACAGATGGTACTGTGCTGCTGCCCTACTCTTTCATTGATTTTATCACACTTCTGTCCTTTCTGTTGCCTTTGAGGAAATTGAGTGATGCACATAATTTCCCCATGTGCTTGCTTCAGTGGAGTTTTATTGCTTTTAAAGGCATGCACAGTACTTTGCGTGGATTCGTATTGGTTTCGGCATTTCTGGATGTGTGCTTACTTAGACATCTTTGGGGCTTTCAGTGTTTTGTGGCCAATGTGTTTACTCACTAGTGTTTCCTGTGACAAATATGCAATACACTGATGAAACATATGCATTCATTGAAATGTGTGTGTGTGTGCGTATACACACACACACACTCACACATATACACCCATAATTAGACCATAGGGCCCCCTGGTTGGCAGGATATAAAAATTAAGTTGTTATTATTATTATACCTTTTTATTTTTAATGTTTTGAGTGTTTGCTATCATTAAATCTAGTAGTAAACATGTTCTAAATGTTTGATTTATATATTTAAATGTCTAGGTTTATTATTTTTGAGTTGTTCTATAACCTGATGTTGTTTATTTTATTGTTTATGATTTGATTTGTTTGTTATGTTATGCTGGCATTGAATGTTTGCCAATTTTCTGTTGTAAACTGCCCTGAGTCCGCTCGGGGAGATAGGGCGGTATAGAAATAAAGTTATTATTATCTATATATATAAATTTGTTAGGGGCATCCAACGAGGAAACAAAACTCAAAAACCCCCCAACGAAACTTAACCAAAATTCCCATGCCCATAACACAACCCACAAGGTACAAACATATCTACTCAAAATGAAAAACAACACAACAACACACTCACAAAACGGCAAAACAACAAAACTCAAAAATCCCCCAACGAAACTTAACCAAAATTCCCATGCCCATAACACAACCCACAAGGTACAAACCTATCTACTCAAAATGAAAAACAACACAACAACACACTCACAAAACGGCAAAACAACAAAACTCAAAAATAAATAAATAATACATGTGATAATAAATATTAAAATAATAATGAATAATAATACATAATGAAATGAAATAATAATAATAATATAAAATAAAATAAATAATAAAATCTGTATATATAAATTTGTTAGGGGCATCCAACGAGGAAACAAAACTCAAAAACCCCCCAACGAAACTTAACCAAA